CCTACTGCAACAGAAATTATTGAAATAAGCACATATTAATTAGATGAAATAGATTAGGAAGATAATAATAAAATCAAAAAACAAATTCTGGAGGCTAATAAGATTAAACTATAGTCAATCAAGCAAATATATTTACAAGTCTTATATGCTAGCAAGATATATAATATAAAAAAATTTTAAATATACTTGGGTTTAATGATCCAACCACTAACTTGCTCAGCATCAAATATACATATAAATACATTTGAACTCAGACTATAGTACAGGACACTTAAAGGCTTTACAAATTTTAAAAGCCAATAATATTCAATATAAAAACAGTATTACAAAAAAAAGGCTGCTATTTTGTAGTTTAACTAATTTGCTACAATTTAGCAGCTCTATTTTTTAAAAAATTATTATATATTTTTTCAATTAATGAGTTTAAAAGTATAGTATTTTTATATGAAATGTAAAAATTTGGCTTAAAATGGACTACCCCAGTATCACCATCAAAAATTTCACCCCCATGTGATCTATGTTATATAAATATTTGAAGATCTTATTAATAAATTCAAAGGTTTTTTAATACTTCTAGCAATGTTTTCTCAATGCCTACTTAATGAAATATGATAAATTTTTTTTATTTTAATTATAAGGTTTTGTAGAATTAAAATAAAAAAAGTTTCATTAAATTTAGTTAAGTGGTTTTCAAAAAATCACCACTAAAAGTATTATAAACACTTAAAATATATTAGAAAAAATACTAAAATCGTGAATTTTTCCTTTTTTTAAAATTTAAACAAATATTTCTTAATACCCAACTATCCAAATTTGATAACTATTTTTTTATTTTAATTCTGTAGATCTATAAAGTTAAAATAAAAAAAATTATCAAATTTGGATAGTTGGGTGTCAAGAAATATTCTTTAAAAGTTAAAAAAATTTGGCTGCAGCTTTTTTTTAGATATTTAAATTTTGAATGAAGATAACTCAGTACTTGCCTTATAAAATTTGATCAATTTTTTTTATTTTAGTTCTATAAATTTATGAAATTAAAATAAAAAAATTTGGTTGAATTTGATCAGGTAAATGCTAAGTTATCTTTATTCAAAATTTAGATATCTTTAAAAAAAAGATGTGGCCAAATTTTTTTGACTTTTAATAAATATTTCTCGATAACTTGCTATTTTAATTTGCCCAAAATTTTTTATTTAATTCTATAGCTCTACAGAATTAAAATAAAAAAATTTTCATTAAATTCTGATATTTGGGTGTTTGTAAATCTTTGTTTAAAGTTTAAATTAAAAATTTATTGCAATGTTTTTTAAAAAACTTCAAACAAAGAGTTTTTGATCTAAATTCAATAAATTTTTTTTATTTTAATTCCGTGAATCCATAAAATTAAAATAAAAAAATTGAGCGAATTAGAATAGCTAGTTGTTGAGAAATATTTATTAAAAGTCAAAAAAAAAATTGGCTACAGCTTTTGTTTAAAGACATCTAAATTTTGAACAGTATTTATCTGATCAAATTCAGTCAAAATTTTTTTATTTTAATTTCATAAATTCATAGAACTAAAATTGATCAAATTGGATAAGGTAAGTGCTAAGTTATTATCGTTCAAAAGTTAGATGTCTTTAAAAAAAAGCTGTGGCCAAATTTTTTTAAATTTAAAGAATATTTCTTGACACCCAACTATTCAAATTTGATAAATTTTTTTTATTTTAACTTTATGGATCTACAGAATTAAAATAAAAAATAATTATCAAATTTGGATAGTTGGGTGTCAAAAAATATTTGTTTAAATTCAAAAAAAAGAAAAATTCATGATTTTAGTATTTTTTTTAACATATTTTAAGCATTTATAATACTTTTAGCAATGATTTCTCGAAAACCACTTAACCAAATTCAATAAAACTTTTTTTATTTTAATTCTACAAAACCTAATAATTAAAATAAAAAAAATTTATTGTATTTCATTAAGTAGATATTGAGAAAATATCGCTAGAAGTATTAAAAAACCTTTGAATTTATTAATAGGATCTTTAAATATTTATGTAACACAGATCACATGGAGTGAAATTTTTGATAGTGATACTGGGGTAGTCCTTAAAATTGGACAAGTCACATGTTTTAGCTTACTGCTATTGGCAAATTTTAAAATTAATTTTTAATTAATTTTAAAATATTTTTTAATAATTAATTTTTAGCCAATCAAATTGCGAGAATTTACAAAAACATTAAATTTTACTATGAAATTTTTGAAAATAGGACAAATTATATGATTTCTGTCTTTAAGTGTCCTGCACTATACAACTTTAAAAATTAAGTGTAGCTTTGATATATTAATTATTCTGATTTTGTAGTTTTTTTGTATTGCTTGAATTTGTTACTATACCTGTTTATAAGCCTTATACAGTTTATAACCAATTTCATACATTCTCTAAACAATATTTCATTCAACAAGTGCAAAAATTCACTAAGATATACAGATAACTTGGTTTTTTACCTATATATTAGTAAAACAAGGTTTTTTGTATAGAGCTTTGTTTTGTAATTCTAATTATAAATAATACTGGTTAGATTAATAAATTCTCATTAGTTATATTTTTAATAATCTTTGATATAGAAATATATAATAACTCATTGAATTTCTTTACAAGTATATCAAGTATATTTAAGCCAGTTGCAATTATATTTTTTAAGTAATCTTGTTTCTTTAGCCTGCTATTTTCTATCCTTCTAAGTAGTTTCCTAATATTATTATATGATCTAGAGCTACTACTATTTTTATAGCTGTATTTAAAATTACTAGAGGTATTTTTTGATCTTTTTGGTTTAGACTTTAGGTTGTTGTATCTTTTTTGTTGTCTTGAATACAAATTGTAGCTGTCTATACTACTTTTTCTAGGTTGTTATATACCCTCTACTATTTGGCATTTGGGGTCACTAATTATTTTTACTGATGTTTTTTGCCTGCTTCACAGGCAAAAAGATTAGTAAAAATAATTAGTGATACAAAGTGTCAAATAATAGAGTTGTAATGGCAAAGATAAAAAAAGAAAATTTTTTTTAATAAGAGAGAGAGAAAGAGGGACAGAGAGAGAATGAGTAAGTAAGAGGGGTAGGACAGAGGGGTGTGAGAGTGGATGTGAGGGAGTGGGGCAAATAGAAAGATAAGCAAAGAGGTAAAGAAGCAAAGAGAAATAAAAGAATTAAAGAAGAGGCAATAGAAAATTTAAACTCCGATGAAGTCACGTGACTTTGGATTTCGCATTCCTGCGAAATCGAAGAAGTTTCAAACTTCGCCGAAACAAAGTTTGAAACTCCAATCAAACAATGAAGTCACGTGACATATAGGAATTCGAATTCTCACGAAAATGGGCAGTGACCCGAAATCGGATCAGTGACCATATACATAACACGTATTATGAAAAAAATAATTATTAATTAATAAATTAATTATTAATTAATAAATTAATTAATTAATTAATTAATTAATTAATTAAAACTAGAAATTTATTAATAAATCGGTATAACGTTACGAATTGGCATAATGTAACGTATTGAAATTGGCATAACATACCAAAATTTATGTAACCTATAGATGCATTTTGTATCAAACCTTTGGAAAAAATGTTTTTAAATCTTTTTTTATTAAAAAAAAATAAAAAAACAATTTTTATTAAATTTTTTATACTAATTTTTTGTTAAATTAATTAAATTAATAAATTATTATATTATTAGTTTTAGAAATATAATAAATAAACTAAATAATAGTAAGTTTAATAGAAATTTTAACAAAATATTATAAATTAATATTAAATTTACAAATTTATTAAAACATATAAAATTTAAAAAGAAGGTAAAAAATTTACAATTAAAGTAAAAATTTTAAAAATTTATATTATTTATTTAATAAATATTTTGTTTTATTTATAAATTATACAAATAATTAATAATTTTATTATAATTTTTTTTTTTATTGAGATAGAAAATGCCAAAAGAAAAAAAAGAAAAGAAAAAGAAAAAAGAAAAAAGACCTACTCCTGATTATATTATAAGAGATTATATAGCACTTAAAAATGAATCTAAAAATGATAGAAAAAATAAATTAAAAAGAAGAAGACAAGCTAAATATATGTATTACTAAAAAAAACAAAGTATTGCAGGACCTTCAACAAGAACAAGATCTCAAACGTCTAAAGCATCATCAGACTCAAGAACAAAAACAAAAGAAGGTCAAAGAGATAGACAACGAGTATATAGAGCTTCTTTGAGTGAAGCAAAAAAAAAGAAAATTTAGAAAAAAGAAGAAAAGCATATAAAAAGAAAAAACAAGAATAATTTGAACAATTTTATAAAATAGGATATTGTAGTTTAGATGAATATTAGGAGAAGGTCAAAGATAATAGTGGAGATGATGATGAAATGATGATAGAGATGATGATAGAGATGATGATGGAGATGATGATGGGGATGATGATGGAGATGATGATGAAGATAATGGTGGGAATGATAGTGATGATGATGGGGATGATAAAAAAACATTGGGGGGCATAGTGTAGGGAAAATGAACATTGAATATAAACATTGTGGGGTGTTAAGATGGAAGGGGGAAAACCAGGACTTTGTTGCATGAATGGTTAAGTTATATTAGCACTACTTCAAGCACAACCATCAGAAATTTATTATTTGCTTACTAAAAAAGATCCAATATCTAAAGTACCATTTTTTGACAAAATAAGAGCATATTATCAAGCATTTGCTTTTACATCAATTGCTACTAATTTAGATTTGGATGTTGCCAATGAAAAAAAGGAGGCCTATTGCTATAGAATTCAGGGTGATCATTATCATCAAATTAGCTTAGTTTTGCCAGAACAAGAGGAAATACCAAAATTTTCTCAAATATATTTTCATGATTCTTCAGATATTGAAGCACAAATTGATAGAAGACATGATGTAATGAAGCAATCATTAAACAGGAATATGATAAATTTTTCCAAAATGTATTAATGGATTTAAATCTTTTTGTAGATATTTATATATCTGCAGGAAATGAGGATCTACAAGATCCTCTGTATTATATTTTAATACATAATAAGCATGGTAAAGATATGCGACAATATAATGCACCATCAGCTAAGGAAGTAGCTGCAATTTGTTTTTCAGATGAAACAATACATGTAAGAGATATTCTTATTGTAAGACATGATAATGAATTAGAAAGAATATCTGAATTATATAGTGCATATGATCTTTTAGCATATCCTTTGCTATTTCTACGTAGAGAATATGGTTGGCATAAAGGAATATTAAAAAAAGATGAAATTGAATCAGATAATGAGGATGATGATAATGATAATGATTATAATGAACCAGATTATTTGTACTGGACTAAACAAAAAATGAAGGCCCATGCAAAAGAAATTGAAGAAAGAAAAATGAAAAAAGAGCTCTTAAAAAAAAGATGGCTCAAATTCCTAAAGCCTCTAAAACTTCTGAAGCTAAAGCTAGAGCAAGTGATATCTCTAATATTAACTTTGATACTTTATTAGAAAGAGAATCACAAAGTGAAACAGGATTAACAAGTGTTTTGGAATCTGCAACTATTAGAAGTTCATCAAGTATGATGAGTCTTGATGATGAAAATATTGATACAGATGATAAAGAATATTTAGAAAGTAGATCTTCTGTAAAAAAAAGAAAAAAAAGAGCTAGAGAAGAAACAGAAGAAGTTCAAGCTCAAGCAGAAGATAATAATGATCTTTATGATCCTGTAATAAAAAAAATTGGTATCTAAAAGCAAAAAAGTTGAATTTGATAAAGATAAAATCTCTGAATCGGAAAGACTATCTGATAATGATAAAGATGATAGTGATAAAGATAATGATAGTGATGATAATGATGATGATAGTGGTGGTAATATAGAGGGACTATCAAAAATTCAACCAAAACCAAAAAAGAAAAAAAGAAAATTGTAACTATTAGGGAGTTTGCAGCTTATAGGTTTATGATTAGAAACTACAACAAAAATAATAGCATTCTGCATCTTTCAGGCAGATTGTTTCAACAATATATAGTGGACCAGTATATAAAGTGGGAAACAAATAATTTAAGTTGGCATTACAAAAATCAAAAGGATTTAAGATCAGCAATCTATCAAGGATTGCAAGATATGATTTCTAATGAAGATGCCAATCTTGATGAAGTTGGCAAAAAGATTATTTTGTCATCAAGCTTTACTGGGTCTACAAGATATTTACAACAATTGTACCAAGATTCTATAGCAATTTTTAGAGAATTTGAAAAACCTGATCTGTTTATAACAGTGACATATAATCCAAAATGGTCTGAGATTACATCTGAACATTTACCAAAACAAAAATCTGCCAATAGGCCAAATTTGGAAACAAGGGTTTTCAAATTAAAATTAGATGCAATAATCAATGATTTAGTTGTAAATGGTGTATTGAGAAAAGTTATTGCATATACATATGTAGTTGAGTTTCAAAAAAGAGAATTGCCACATGCTCATATATTACTTATATTG